CTTTGTCTTGTGGTCAAGTGCGAGTTGTCTAACAGTCTCCAGGAACGGGGGTTTGGCCATCTGGTGGTCCTGGAGGCATGCTTGCAGCACACAGCGTACTCGTACATCATTAGCATCAACCACACATCAACAAAGCATCTTTGTTTGGTTCAGATGACTAGAATGACACAGATTGGGTGTCACAGTTACACAGCAACATGTGGCATGACCCTGTGCTTTACCACATTGTGTGACACTCAATTCACACAATCATGCACTCATTGGGACTACCCACACCCAAACTTTGATCCCCAAAAGGGCCCCAGAAATTGGGAAAAAGAAACTATCGACCTCTGGATCTAGATCGTTGACTTTCTCGATGGCGTCCTCCACATTGCCACTCTGCACTGCCTTCCTGATCTCCATCCTGTCTGTGATGGAACCAAGGTTGATGCCCGGACATGTCCCTGATTCCTGTTCAAACATTTGAGCTGCCTTCACGTAGCCCTGCAGCACAAATAGGGAGCACCAATTGTTGAGGCCACACTTTCGGCAAAGAAAAACTGCAAATGGTGGATGAACGAGAAAGTCCAGAACTAGGAATCTGAGCTACCTTCTACAGCCCCTACTCCCTACAACCCTCCGATAGCCACCTCCTACGAAGAACTTCTTGCCTGATTGAAGCCATTTAGGAATGTTTAGAAACTTTGGTACTTTGTCCATTGATAGGCTGCTGCTGCTGGTGGTCATCTGGTTCTGCTGCAGCAGTCACTGGGTACGCCATCCCAGCATTGGGCTACAGGACAGCCAGGATAAAGGCTAAGGGGCACGTTTTGTGCATTGACTGCTGTTACACTGCAGAAAATGACAACCCATTTCTGTTTTGAGATATGGGGGAGCAATTCGATCAACAACTTGGTCTGCTTACAAGGTGAACTGGCCGGGTTTACATTTGCAGCATTCAGTATGCAACTGGGATTCACTTGTGGCAACATATTCAGCTGTCGATGCCAGTGAGTTTCATCACAGGCGCTCAAAGCTCTTTGCCATATCCAGATGCTTGTCATCATTCGGGTTTCAAGTGCACAAACGACTGGCGAACTCATTGTTCTCAGCTGACAGATAACAGTGCCTGTTGGTTGCCATCTAACACACCATTGCAACTGGATCATTTCAACGTGACAACACCTTGTGGCAATGCTGGACTCGATCTGATGAATCACTGTGCAGGCCATCACCGACTCTCAACTCCTTCCATCCTATCACTTGGGACCCCTGCCCAGTGCTGCTTCTGGGGTTTGGAGTATTCTTATTGACACACATGATGAGGTCCTCCCAGACCGGCAACAGCAAACTGATGCTGTTTTATCACATGACTTCAGTGGTTAAACATGCTATGGCCAGTGTGCTCTCATTGTTGTTGTGCACAAGTTCATTCATTGTCTTTGCCTCAACGATTCCAACTATTTGCAACTTCTTCTCCCTCTGATCAGATCGGCAAACTTAGACCACTGAACTTTTTTGCGATTACATTATTGTAGTATTGCACATTTGATAACCTCCAGCTGGTTCTATCCACAACTAATGGGTGGATTTGCTGCTCTGCGCTATTAGCCCACAACAATGCTCTGTCTCCAATCGCCTAGCACTTCCCCTCTGAACTCATTTCACACTCTACACTACAGGAACATCATTTTCACCAGGTGCCATTTCATCAAAATCATCCTTCCAGCTGTACTAAGTTAGAATTCTTTCACCAAACATGCACAGTCTGGCAGGATGACAGACCGGGGGGAATGACAAATCCCCTCAAAGTCGCTCTCTCGCCTTTGAAAGTTGTGGGCCAATGCAGCTTTTGGCAAAAACAAGACACCAATCTAACAGAGCTGAGCCAAGCTAAACTAAAATACATCACACTAAACCAGGCATAGCAAAGCAATTGTGGAACGCACCTCTGTGACTAAGAAATTCATGACCAGCCGGTTCATGTCCTCCTTCTTGATCTTAATCTGGCCAAGCTTCTGCTCCCATTCTTGCAACGTCACGGATTTCTTTGATGACGCCTGTGGACACACTGACAGGTCAGCGCATGCAATTTTATCCCCATGATTACACCTTTTCCTCCATGAAAACCACTGCAGTCGCACCTGCACCCCCATGGCATCCAATAGCGCTGCAATCGCTGTGCTGGAAGGCATCAGCTCTTTACTGACTGGTGTATCTCAAGCCCTTCCAAAAACGACTGAACCAACTAAAGTGATAATTCAAGGACTGATAATTCCAGCAAGGAGAGAAAAGTGTTGATACAACCACTACAACAATGCCAGTTTTCTTTTCTTTGTGTACAGATGTGGGTGTGAGTGGCTGGAGAGTGAGGGTGGGCTGGGGTTTTGTGGGAGGTGAAGGGTCATAGCAATATTTGGGGCGAACCTGGCATAAGGCTAGCACATTTAGCAGTTCAACGATCGCCTGCTACTGCGTATTCTGTGTTCGGCACCACATGGACGGGCCAAATCTGCGCATTTGTCTATTCATGCCAATGCCTTTATGTATTCCAGCGATCGTCAAGGTGATGCAGATCATGCATCACTGCAGAGGCCAGACAGACAGGCAGCAACCAGTTTTGTCTACCCAGCTTCTTGCCAACTTCCCCCATGTTCAGTAATTAGGGCAACCTAAGCTCCCCAACAACTACGGGACAGGCTGGGTTTCAGCAGGACGACTGGGCGGTTAACATTTTCTGTCCAGCTATACAGAATGGTGCTGTAAATAGAACAACAGTTTGTGCTGTAAAACAGCACAAACTGGTACCGATGCCTGATATACCGATGCCTTTCTTTCCCTTGCTAGATCAGAAGACTAATCGAAGACCGTTTAGGTTTGGGAGGGCAAGGTTGGGACATGAAGGGACGATTTCGCTCCTTCGGCATCATTTGTCGATGTCCACAGGTTCATTGTGCACTACGCATTGATGCACTGGGCAAACGTGCTCTGCGGGTGCAACATGCTTTGGGGTTCCGCATCCAGAGACATGCTGTTGTGAGCTGCACAACAGACATATGCTGTTCTGAGCTGCACAAGAGATATTCTGTTTTTCACAGCACCACAGGTGCCATGACCATTGTTCTTGAACAAAACCTCCCAAATCTTGATTCATATCACATAGGGCATCACACAGCACTTCTGTGAGTTTTCAGGGATTCTCCTGTGGGTGCTGCCAGCGTTGACAAAACTGCAGCAATCCGATAAGCTCTGTAGTCTTTCTGCTGAAATCATTATCTTTTCAGCAATCCTTGTACCCCAAGACAACCCCGATATCACCCTGCTACAGAGGCTGCAGTTTCAGCAAAAGTACAACAGCGTTAACATATCATGAACCAAACATCGCCCATGCAGCCATAATGCAAAGGCTGTAAAACAGAGATGGTGTTAGCCATCAGGGTGCTGACACTACTCTAGACACATGTGCACAGTCATATCAGAGTTTCGGTAGCATTGGTACAGAGCACTAAAGCAGAGGCTCATGGCCGGACGATGCACAACCTAGTTGGTTGTGACGATGTACCCAGCCTGTGCATGTGCCAAGCAAACTTCTACATTGCCTTCCCAGAACCAAGGAGTTCGTTTTCAACCTTACACATAGTGTGGGAGAGCTGCAGAACAATGCAATGTCACCAAGCTGCTAGGGCAGGACACACACTGATCAACAAAAGGAAGGTCCCCACAGGCCAACCCATTTGCAGCCAGGCTTGTCCCCACTGATTGTCCAACTTTGACTGCCATGCCTGACAAGCCCAATCTGACAAACTTGGGACTCGCCTGTCAATGCACAGCTCTGATTTTCGAGACCCATAATGTTGACAATGCAAGCTGCAGAAGGCTGTTCTGAAGGAGCTCGTCTATTCTGACAATGGGTTTATAAAGGCAATCCTGCACAAATTACTCGAGACCAAAGGAATTATGCACATAAGAGGGCAGACAGCAGTGTGCTGCGCAGTGAGCATTCCCCTCTACAGCAAGTTCTTTTAAGCTCTTTCCTGCACAGCAGGGGATGTTGGAGAAGCCCACTCAAGGGCAGTATGAAGGGGAGGACAATGGGGAAACAGACAATCGCAAAGAGGTAATCTCATGGGGGCGATGGTACTGATGGATATTGCGCTCCCTGCCACCAATGTTTTGGGGTGCATTGAAACTCCTTGAGCAAAAAATAGGCAGCTGAAACCCACACCCTGCCTGGATGTGTGGCATAGTTGATCACTTGCAAAGGTCAGCAGCAGCAGGCGAGGACAAGCTGCAAGTGCACTCAACGTGCATAGCAAAATAATCCACCTTCAAAGAAAAGCGGGCGGAAGAAAAACAGCGACCTCAAGAGAGTTGCAACTGGCAACAGGCCAACTGCTCGACCACAAGGAAATATTGTTTGCTGAGGATTGCTGTTGTGGCTACTACAGTCACCTTTTTCTTGACGAGCCCCCAATGATCGCAACACAAGCCCACACCCAATTTGTGTCAGCCCCACATCAGTCGTGTCTGGAGACAGGCAGCATCTAATGTCTTAAATGCGAATCAATATACTGGATTTAAGGCAAAGGCATGGGCCCTGCCTCGTGTATCAAAGGCGAAATCCCGATTTTCGCTTTCTTTCGCGGCTACCTGCCCATCCATTTCAAATTCATGGCAGCAGCAAAGGGCAGCAACCGGGCTCTCAATCGCCCCAAACGCCCTGTCCAAACATCCGCGCAGAAGCTCCCGACAGCGCATCACCGTTCAAGCCACAGTTCGCCGTGCCCCGCTGGAGGTCCGAAACAGACCAGGAAATGACAGAAACAAGCCCCGCAAAACAACGCAATAAGGCCAAACGGCAACCGGCGATCATCCCGCCAAGGCGCCTCCGCGCCACAACCACATGGCGCATGATCCCACCGGGGCATCGCGGGGGTCGCGACGCCCGCGACAGCAGCCTCCTCCCCACCCCAGCCCCCTCTGCGATTCCCATCTTTCGTTCCCAACTCCTTGCCATCTTTTTCCCATCGTTTGCCACAGATCGCCGAACAGCGCTGCCGAAGGCCGGCTTCCCCGCGGCTGGAGCTGCCCCCCCTGCCCCCGCCCTTCCCCCACACCTCCTTCCCGCGGCAAATTCCGCCGACCCCGCCTACCTCCCCTGGCTGGGCGCTCATCGCCAAGCCGCAGGAGCCCACTATGTGCGCCAGCGGCCCGCGCCCGTGCGTGTGTGTGCGCTCGTCGGCGGCGGGCCCCGGGACGCGCGATCCGACCGGCGCCCGTGTGCTGTCGCCGTACCAGGGGGGATGGGGATGAGTTCGGCCGCCGCGCGGCGCAGACAACGGCGACGGCCAGCGAGTTGGCGTCCGCGCGGGCTGGCTGCGGGGCTGGGCGCGTCTTTGGGTCGTTCCCCAGGCGGAGGCGGGCATCATTTTGGCGGGTCGCTATTTTTTTCCTATCCGTTGTTTTTGCTATTTTTGCTTGTTTATATTTATATTTTCTTTTCGCCATTTTTCTCTGTTTTTGTTTTTCTTTGCGTGTTTTCGGGGGAGACACAAAAGTGCGGGGCTCCGCGCACGCGAGAAGCGCCAGGAATTCGGGTTTTGGGACAGCGGCGGCCGTCCGCTCCCCACCCTCCGCATCCGCCCAGCTGCCAGCCGGAACGCCCGCGCAGAGACGCGCGCACGCCGGCTCCCGCGTCTGTTCATATCAGCCGACGACGTCGCAGCTCTTGATCTCGAGGCACGGTGATCGGGACGGAAACGAAAGGACGAAACGACGGGAGGGCGGAACGATCCAAGAGGCAAGCCACCCAGCAGCCACAGTGAGTTCGCCCCCCCGCACTCTTGTTCCTTGACCAGATCTTGCTAGATTCTGGCCCTGCGTGCACGACGTTTTGGCGCCGCAGTCCCTGGCGATGCAGACGTGATAGTGCCCGTCGGGCCTCATGTCGACTGGCCCGTGGGTGGGCGACCAACACCCGCCGTCCGGCAGCTCAATGTACGGGGCACCCCGATCGCATGGCTGTGGGTGCTGCCCCCTTCCCCTCCGTCACCCATCCTCGCGAGCTTTGGGTGTGCGACGCTCGTCGCTGCTGGCCTGCCCGGCAACAAGCGGAATTGATTGCGCAGCCAACAAAAGAGTACCGCGGGTGTGTGTTTCTGCCTGACGGGATACTGGTCCCGCTGGTTCCCACGCTGGCAAAGTGCGCTACAACATCTCCAACAGGTGTGCGTCACCCAAACAAAGCCCAATGACCATCGACCATAAGATTTGCCCTTGCCTCGCGATTCAAAACATAGTACTTTCTCTAGAACTTTACATATCAGAGATTCCACCTGCTCATCGAAATCACTCTCATAGGGATGGGCGGGAGGGAGAGCAAAACAGGATGGAGAAGGCCGGGAGGCGCCACCTTTAAATAGGCGGCATCCCTGCCCTCCAAACTTGCCCAGCCTCTCACGTGATCAACCGGCTCTGGCTCCTTAAAATGCAGGCCCGAATGCAGCTATGCAAGTGGCCAACACTCGCCGCCCTTGGGCATTGACGTCCGGGCGACGGCCAGTGTCACCACCGGGGTGGCGCCCCGCCAAAGCTGCTGACGTGTTCTCGTTTCGCACCCAGGCCTCCCTGTGCAGAAGCTCATTAACTACACTAAACCCCCAAACATTGTGGGCGCACAATGTCTTTGGCTTCTGGCATCAAAATTCGTGTCCTTTCTATTTGGCAGTATTGTTTCCAAAGCCCAGTAGAGGCTATGACCCCGGGACAATTGTCCTGGTGAAAACTCTCGAAAGTGCACAAACAATACGAATGTCCTGCGGGATAGTTATAGTTGTTTCCGAAAAGAATATCATAGACAGGAACAAATGAGACTTCCCACATCCACAAGAATGGAACATCCATGTCGCCCGCATCACCCATATCTTTGGTATGAAATAAAATGTACAAATTCCATAACTTGGATATGCACGCTCCAGGAAATGGCCATTTCCAGGATATATCCATATTTTCTGGGTGACTCTAAGCTAAACAAATAAAATGCAGTCACAGGGTCGTGTCC